ATGCAAACATGGAGCATGGGTTGTGCAGGGGAGGGAGCAGCCATGTCCCAGGCTAGGAAGGGCTCTCCATCACCGGCGGCCTGTGGCTTGGTCTGAAGCCACTCACAGGGTGACAACACGGATGCACAACGCAGAATCTCTTACCATCAGCGGGAAAATGATAGCGGCCATGGTGGACTTGAGGACCCAGAGCATGGCCAAGCACAGCACCTGGATGAAGGTGAACAGATGCACCCGGCGCAGAGGCACGTGGCGAAGGTAGACAAGGTCTGGCTGGTGCTTGGCTGGCATCAGGAGCAGCTGCACTCGTTCTGTGAACTGCCACGAGAGGACAGCAAGCTTGTCACGTGTGGGCTGGGGCGCTAGTGAATTTTATAGCTCCCAGCTTTAAGGCAGCAGCCACCCATGGCTTGGGCCCAGACGGGTCATTGCCTTTGTGGTGCTGGGGGAGCCGTGTGGGCCCTGTGCTACCGAGGGAGGCAGAGCTGGTGGCTGTGCTCGGGTCAGCTTTGAGCACTGCTGCTCTTGACATCTGAGGTGGATGAGTTTATCTGACCAGTGCTGTAAAACCAGGGTCCTTTTACCTAGACCTGTGATAGAGCAGCACTGCTCTGAGCCAGAGAAACTGGCTGGGCAGACATTGCAAAGATCTCAAGCTAGATCCAAACTGTAACAGAGATAAAGGCCACATTTCCTGATACATCTGGTCGGTTTAGTGTTCCCTCATACTCCTCAGCAAACTGGACATCTCTGTTTCCTCAGAACTGTCCCTTTTGCTGTCCTGGGCCTGTGGATGGGCACAGCAGTGTCACGATACACATCCACAGATGTAAAGTTCAAGCTTCAAGCCGCAGAGCTGGTGCCGAGTGGCCGGGGCTGGTGTTGAGCAAAGCCCCTTCATCCCGGCTCAGTCCAGCACATTCCAGGCAGCCCTCACTCACCTGAATGCTGTTCAGAGCCGCCACCCCCATGTGCAAGAAAACCCCGTACAGCACCGGCATTGGGATATACTGCAAGACATTGAGGTGACAGGTCAGCAGGGTGCACTTTCCTGCAGGGATTGCACCCACGGAGCTTCATGTCCTGCAGGAACAGTCTGCGGATGTGGCTGCATCATTTGCTTGCTTCATTACAGTTTCGTTTCATGCCTTTTTGTGCACTGTTACTTCCCCTGCTTGCTAATGTGTTGGGAGCAAGGCAGAGGGGAGGACAAGGCACTAGCTCATATGGAGATAAGCCTTATAGCTTAGGGGTTATAAAAATCGGGGTCCCCATGGCAGCAAAGACACGGGTGACACCCGGGCTGTCATGGAGCCGTAGGCAGCAGGCAGCTCTGTGAAGCAACAGCAGGGCACAGCACACTAAATATCATCACCCCTCGGCACCGAGAGCCAGCAGAGGTGACCTGGGCCAGCCTGCAGCAGCACAGAGTCCTGCTCTAGCTGCTCATGGCTTTTCTATTCCTCTCCTGCGTTGCAACCGCATTTCCCAATGTGTGACCAGGTTCCCACCATCTGTGTGGCTCAGCACGATATATTTTTCTGCCAAGCCTGGCCAGCTGAGGGTAGATCTTAGGGGTCACTGTGCTGCTCCCCATGGCCTCGCCATGGGTGCAACCTGTCAGGGATTCAGGGAGGACCCGGGGCTGGGGTCAACTTCTGCGCTGTGACGAAGGCGTCAGTTGGAGGGGGAGCATTAGCCAGCACCCCGGCTGGGGAGATGAGGATGGTCCCCAGTGACCGCAGGGAGGTCACACCAGCTGTCACGGGGGAGCAGGAGGTAACAGGGTAACGCCGCAGAGGTGACCGCGGCTGTGCCCGGTGACACGGGGCATGCACGGAGCTGCTCCTGCTGGATGTGGCTCTGGGGCGAGAGGGGCCAGCGAGTGGTGCCACAGCCGCCACGCGTGCTGGCAGCACGTCGGGGCAGAGGCCATCCCTGCTGTGTTTGTGCCCTTTGGCCCCTGCTGAGTTGCCTTTCCAGCCAGTGTTTTCCAATGACCAATCAATTGGGCAAAGGTTGCAGCTGGAGGGATGTCCAAGTGACGAAACATCATCCTTGTGGTCCTCAGCCTTGCAGGGTAAGGCCTCTCCCTCCCCCTGCCCTCCCTGCCTTTTGGGGAAAAGGTGCAAAAACATTCTAAGGCCAAACACACACATACACACACACACACACACACAAAGGTTCTGTACCTTGAGAATAGGTGCCATAAACACGGACACTCCGGTCAGGATGAAGACCACCAAGCCAGTCAGCCTCTGTTCTCTGTGGGCAACAGCACACGGGTCACAGGGGTCCGGGACAGCGCAGGATCCCGCAGGCCCTCAGGAGGCACCTCCCTTGCAGTGGCACCTCGGGTCTCTGGTGTAACCAGCGGCTCCTGTCTGCCCTCGTGGTGACCAAGTCACAGCAGTGCCTGAGCTTCATCCCCAAGGCCCTGCTGGGGCATCTTTTATGCTTTGGGGATGATGGTATGCGGGAACCACAAGCAAAAACATCTTGGGTCTTTGCAAGACCTTTCTTTTCCCCACTGCTGAGGCTCTCCAGGCTGGCTGAAGGTGCCCAGGAGCTGCCGCAGTGCTATGCCACAATGCTGAGCAGTGGAAAGATTTTTTTTTCCCATGGGAATTGTGCAGCTTCCCCGGCGGAGAACAAATGAGCAGCCCCAAACCCAGGGCTAAGGACCTGCTGGAGGCTGGACTAGGTCTGCTCATGAGGATGAGCATGTGCCCATCCTCCTGCAGAGCCCCTGGCAAGAGAGGTCTCAGGCAGCAGCCTGAAGCGGAGAGGTTCCCACCCGGACCAAGGAGGAACTCACAGCAGGGCCAAAGCTCTGCCTAATACCTGATGCCCAGGAATTTGGGCTGCTCGCCTGGAGCTGAGGTTGTGCTCTCCTTCTTGAGACTCTCCATGTGTGCCAGCGAGATGACCGTAGCAGACACATACCAAGGAAGGCCCGTCACAGAGGTGACAATCATGAGGAGGGAGACACAGAAGAGGTCCAGATGAAAGCCTGCCCCTTTCTGTAATGAGAGACATCAGGGCTTTGGGGGAGAGCCATGAACCGGGGCATTGGCTTGCCACTGAAGGGACCTTCACAAGGTGCTGGAAGCAGGATGCTATCCCAGACGATGTCACATGCAAAGGGAGGCCTTGCCAGCTAGTCGTCCTGGTTCTCATGTCATGGCGAAGAAGCTGGGATGAGCTGCTGGCAAGCCCAGTGAGAGGGTGACTGTCTGGATTGTGGCATGAGGATCCATTGGCTCAGTGGATCTATGTCCTGTGCCCCAGGAGCTCATGCTGCCAGGACAAGCCAGCATATCCCAAAACACATACAGTCGGAGAAGCCCTGCCAGGTAGCTGCATAACTCTGAAAGCATTTATAAATCTCAGAAACCTTCAGATGGACCTTTGAATGCCCATAGCTCAACCTATGGTCCAATATTTGCATTTCAGCGGCAACCAGCCATGAAGCTGCACCCTCACTGATGGCCCCAAGAACCATCCTCATCCCATAATCAGCAGGTCTGTGCAACATGCTGCCTGTGGCTACAGGCGGCTTCCCTGCAGTGTATTGAGCCTTTGCTGCTGCTCCACATCCCTGATTTCAACTGCTCTTTCCTAGTTCCACAGCATCTCTCCTGGAGCTGCAGTGAGCAGGGCTGCATGCAGAGGTTGAGATACAGGTGCCCCAATGGTTGCCCTGGTGGGCTCCCCGCTGCCTTCATGGCACTGCCCAGCAGCAGTTGATGCTTTCCCAGCTCCTGCAGCTCCTCCCCAAGTCCAGAGCATGCCTGTCGCCAGGCCAGCAGCCCCCATGTGGCCCATCTGCCCCTCTGGGTTAGCGTGGTGGGTTTCACAGGCACCTCCTGCCTTTCCTCCCCACCAGCACGGCATCAGTCTTGCAACCTGAGCGAGCTGATGCTCCCCCACCACTCCAGGGCTTGCATTGCTCATCCCCTCCTCGGAGCCAGTACTGAAGGTGCTGGAGAACACGGTGAAAGATGTCCTGGGGGTAACCTGTCACCATGCATACCTGTCAGGAGGAGTGCATCCCACTCAGGTGACAAAACAAGGCCCATGCCACCTCCAAGACAAGATGGTACCTCCTGTTTGGTGACAACTGAGGCTCTGGAAGGGATGGCCCTTCTAGTGCAGGACAGAGGCAGGCAGGTCTTCTGAGGGTCCGCAGGGAAGGCCACTCTGGAGAGCAGAGAGGCCCCAGCTGGTCCAGACCTACCAGTCCTTCTGCAAGATGTGGGACTCATGACCGAACTGCCTGGCATTGGCCTGGGTCTTGAGAGGAATGGGCTCCCTCCTAGGGCATCAGCAATGAGTGATGGTGATGCTGAGGGGGAAGGAGGAAGGTCACCCCATGGCTGCAGCACCCTTTGGCAGCTGTGGAGAAGAGCTGTGCCTCTCTGACACTCCAGACTACAAGGAGGAGACTCTGGACACGTGTTTGGGGAAACACAGGGGGTTCCTGCATTCCCCACAACCCCAGCATGGAACTTGTTCTGGCTCCCAGCAAGGGGTCAAGTCTTGGCCCCTTGCCCATACTCGCAGTGCCCAGCTGTGCCCACCCAGCAGGTTGCAACCAGCAGAGAAGAGAAAGAGCAGTATGACCCATCCCACTGAGTGAGAGAGGAGTTTGGAAGCAAAGGGAACCAACAGAATGAGCTCCCAGTCCTGTCAGCCTGGGTGCATTGTGCTCCCAGGCCAATGGTCCTGTCTCCAGGGGCCTGGAGATACTTAGACCCAGGCTTGGAGAAGCCCGAGCCCTCTGCATAGCTCCCTAAGGGCTGCACATCGGCGCAGCACTGGCTGTCCCAGGGAGCTCTTCGTCAAGGGGCTCGTGCTGAGCCCCACGTTCACGGGCAGAGGCGCCCCAGGAAGCGTGTGACAAACCAGCCAGATGCAGCACCCGAAGGAGCGAGCCTGGGGAAAGCCCTGCCCTCTGCCTCTGCCCCCTCCTCACCTGCAGCTTATACTCCCTGCGGTTGAGGATGACAGCCGTGATCTGCTGGTCCATGAAGATGAGGATGGTGACAAGGACGGCAGGCACCACAGACAGCAGGCAAACCCACCAGGGGTTGGCTCCAAAGGGGGAGATGATCCAGCCTCGTGCAGGGTTTGTGGGCTGTGGCAACGAGAAAAGGGTCACACTGGCCACCGGGCTCTTATGGGGCCCAGCAAAGGGACCCGCCGCAGCTGGGTGCCCGGGCTGGAGCCCTGTGGGTGCCCATAGACGCTCCTTGCCAGGGAGCACAGCCTGCCTAGTCACCCTGCACACGTCCCAGCTGCTGCCAGAGAAGGGGACTGTTCCTCAGCACTGCCTGGGCTCCCGGCCAACAGCCAGGCACATCCAGGGTGCCCTCGTGCACGGCTGGGTGAGCTGCAGGGGCAGCTGCAGTGCCAAAGCTGGAGGAGGAGGCAATGCCTAGGGATGATGGTGAGTTGTGGGTGCCCAGAGCCTGGAGGAGGTGGCAGCACATGCACACAACAGCCCAGCTCGTGGGAAGGAGCTTGAGCTGCCAAACCCTCTCCCCACCCAGCCCCAGGGTGGGGAGCCCAAGCCCGGACTTGAGCTTGTGCCTCCAGCTCCAGCATGAGCTGTGGCATTGCTCTAGCAATGATGCAGGTGACTAGTTCAGGACCAGGCTGGGATATTTATAGACCACAGGGCTGGCTGGGGCTCAAACCCTTCCAATTGCAGCGGTGCGGCCTGCACTGGTATTGGGCTGAGGGCCTATGGGCCTGCCCTGCACTTTCTCTGGGACCGTGTAGATGGAGGAAGGCTGCCAGAAGCAACATGGCACAGCCTCCTCCGAGGACACAGAGCCACCGAGGGCAAAGCCGGGGACGCCCAGCTGGGACACGTTGTCCTGACAGTCCAGTGAGGTTCAGCGGGGCTGGGCTGAGGGTGCTGCACCCAGACAGGATGTTGGTCAGGGAGAAACAAGGAGATGAACTCCCTGAGACAGGGGCACAGGAGGTCTTCGTCCACCACGGGCATCACCAGGCTGCCCGGCTGGCGAAGCAGGGTGGGCACATCATGGTTCTGGTTGTTACGGCCAGTGCTAAGCACATTGCACCCAGAACTGGTGAGGCCAGGAGCACTTGCTGCCCACAGAGGGGAGAGGCCGGTTCTCCCGTACAGCTTGCTGCCTCCTCTTTCCTCCAAGGTCTCCACGATGGGTTAGATGACAGCAGCGTCGGTTTGGGAGCAGAAGGGGTGAGGTGGTGGCCTCCTGCCAGCATGGGTGAGCCCTTGCCACTCCGCTCCCACAGCGTGCATGGGAGCCGTCTGGGCTGGCCCAGTGGCAGGCGAGTTGGAGCAAAGGCTTCCCTTCTCCTGCACCTTCTCCCTCCTCTGGGGAGCACTCAGAGCCTTTGCCCCTGTGTCTGGAGTCACCTCCAGCCCTGCAGATTACAGGTCTGTCATGGCAGGATCAGCTGCCAGAAACGCAGGACCAAAACCACAGGAATCACAGGACCAAAACTGGGTTTTCCCTGGGCTGGGTACATGTTTTGGAAAGAACTTTCCATGCACAACCCAAACCCCTTGGGAGTCTGCAGGTCCCCACCCAGCCCGTCACCTTCAGCTCACTGGGGACAAGGAGCTTGGGGGTCTCCAGGCCAAGGACTGCATCAACAGCACAGAAGATGAGGATCGCCAGGATGATGGAGAAGTCGCTCACCAGTTTCCTAAACTGAAGAAAAGCAGGTAAGTTTAGCCTGTGGTTGGCCAAGAAGCTTTTCCTAGGAAGGCTGAGGCTGGCAGAGGGGCTGTGCATGCCCCCCAGAAACACTCCCAGCTCCTGGGAATGGCCAGGTCCAGGTGGGGAGCTGCAACTAAGATTTCCACATCTTGGACTGCACAGATCTTGTCCCAGCGCAACAGTCCTGCCTGCCAGAGCCTGGGCCTCGGGTCTCAGGGTGCACAGCAGGGAGAGCCTCTTCACCTGCCTTTCCCAGCAGTAACGGAGGCGAGCATGGGGCTGAAACACTCACCATTGTGGGGAAATAGCGACTGGTCTTGAAGCGCTTGAGCATCGTGGAACACAGGAAGGTGCCTCCAAATAGGAGGAAGGACATGAGAGTGACATCGGGCACGTAGTGGCAGCTGGCTCCCAGGAGGTGGCCTCCTTGGTCCAAACACTGGGTCCTGCTGAGCCTGGCTAGGGTGACAGCCTCTGGGCACTGTAAGGACAGGACATTCAGGGGAGAGGAGGCCAAGGAGGGACGGAGGCTGGGCTCCAGGTGCTGGAGGTGGCAGGCAGGACTGGCTTTGCCCTGGGGACATGATGCTCTGAACACCCCAGGGCCAGCACGGAGCACCCTGGGCCTGCAGCTGCCTCCATCCTTGCTGGCTGTGACCCTTCTTGCTCCTCCTATAAGAAGAGGAAAGGGGTCTTACCTCCTGCAGGGCGAGGGGCGAAGGGAGCAGCGTGTTGTTCCATGCTGAAACATTGCCTGAAAGAGAACAGCAGGAGTCAGGGGCCCAGGAATTGCCGAGGATGTGGCAGGGGTCTGGGCCACAGCCCAACCTCAGGGGCTGGCTGGGACCACATCCCTGTCAGGGCCACCCTGGGCTCATCTCAGAGAGTCCGGGCTGTGCTTGGGCCTCCTCAGGACATGAGAGAGCCGAGAAATAGCTCTGGGCAGAGGCAGAGACACCCTGGCTCACAGCAAGGCTGCTGGCCTGATGAATCACAGGGTCTAGTTTGAGGATTCTCAAGGATGTCTCCCTGGCCCAAGTCCCCACAGGCCCTGTAGGGTCTCCTGTCCTCCATGCCTCCTCTTCAGTGTTATCTTGTCATTGTCATGTTAAAATTGTCTGTGTCCAGCTCTTCTCAGGCCCTGTTTACAGCTGCTCTGAATCTGCCCAGACTTTAACACTTCAGGGTCATATTTTCCAGCCCAAATGTCTGCCTGGTCTGGAAAGTTTAGGAAAATCTTGGCTGAAGCAGTCAACCCACTCAAGAGGTGACGATGGCCCTGAACTCTGCCCAGCAGTGATGCTTTTGGTACATGGTGTGAGTTCCATCTGCAGGATTGCTGTAGCAGTGGGGACATGTCTCCTCCAGCACAGTGAAACACCCTCTGATTTCAAAACCAGGTTGTAAATTGCAGAGAAAGCCTGCTCAGATGCTGCAGGGCTTGCCAGAGTCCCCAGGCTCCAGTGACCCAAGGGTCCCCACCATTACAAGAGCTGCACCGAGGTGTCCCCTGCTCCCAGCACCACTGAGCCACCAGGTAGCACAGCCATGAGCTGGCAGGGGGTGTCTCCATCCCACTGGTCTGTGTGGGCTGTAGAGGCAGAAGAGCCACCAGACCTGAGCAGCTGGGTGGCAGGAGGAAGGTTCTGGGAGCTGGAGGGCAGATCTGCACCCCGAATGGAGCACAGTGCCTTGGAGAACATGGAGCTACTGGCTGGGGAGAAATGCCTGGGAATCCCAGTGACAGGCCAGGGGCTCCACCATGCAGAGAGAGTTGATTCGGCAGGGGAGCCTGAACCCGGGGCAACCAAGAGGAGCCAAAGGAGTCAATGAGTGCCCTCTCTGCTCTGCTGCTAGCCAACTGCTCTCCAGGGCCATGGAATGTGGAGTCCCTGGCACGCGGGAGGCATGAGCAGGGCTGGTG